CTAGATTGAAGAATAAAAACGACAGCAACTTGTCTGTTCCCCTTCCCCCAATTCCCCAGCACTGTTCCCACTCCCCCAATTCCCCAATTAAAAAAAAAAAGAAGAAAAGAAAACTCAAAATCCACAAAAGAGCCAAGGTGTGTCACTCTCCTGGCTGTCAAATGCAGGGAGGGTGTGATTTAAGCCCTGTCAGGTAGTGGTGCTCTGAACTTACCAAGTATAGGATCACCTGGAAAGTTTGTTAAAATACAGATAGGTCCCAGCCCCAGAGTTTCTGAAGGTATTGGGTAGGGCTGAGATTTTTGCATTTCTAACAAACTCTAGGTAATGCTGATTGGGACCATACTTTAAGGGTCATCCATGCAGCCTGGCAAATAAATCAAGGGATTCAGGGTAGGATGGTCAGCTGCAGTATATGGTGTTTCTAAAGCTAGAAGATTTGTTTTTTAATTAGACTAAGGCATATGGAAACATTAAATCAGATAGTGGTATTTCCTTCTCACTTGTAATTCAGAAGCTAAATTCTATAGCGTAGACCAGAGGTCGGCAAACTGCAGCTCTTTGGGTACGTACATGTGGCTCTGAAGTAAAACTGAAAATGAAAATAAAACCATCATCGTTTTACTTATAAAATTTTTAAAGGATATTATTCACATAATGGTGATTTCATTTGTTTTACAGGTTTCACAAAACTTCGAGGGACAGGATTGGCTCTTCCATCTCAAAAGTTTGCTGATCCCTGGCGTAGACCAAGCAGTTATGGGCATGGGAGTTAGGAGACCTGGGTTCAAGTCCTGATCCTGTCACTAGTTAGCTGTGCAACCACAGACCACTCGTCCCCCTCTCGGGGCATCATTACATTATCTGAAACACAGAGGTACTCAGCCTGAAAATCTCCAGTGTCAGATCTTACATCCTATGACCTCACGATTTTGAAAACCTGTTGGCAATTTAGTTCCAGAGCTGGATGGTCATCCCATCTACATATAAAATGATTAAAGATACTCCAACTTGAAAACACAAAACAAACATGAGAAATAATGACCAGTTAAATTTGAGATGAACTCATAACAAATAAATGGCAATTATGGAGACTGAATGAACTTTACTTAAATAGGTTTCATAAATAAGAAATGCTCAAAACAAATAACCATGGAAATATATATTTTAAATATATAGCAAAGATATTACAATAAAACAAACAAAAAAACCCCAAATAGCTCCCTTTCTGAGAACAGTCTAGAGAAAACAGGACGTAGTACAGAATAAGAAAACATCAACTCACCAGATGAGCAGAGCTGAAGGGACTTCTCCAAGGAAAGAAATCGGCCCCTCTTCCCCATGCTGGCACCTCTCCGCCATCCCAGGACACTGCTCCCCGGCCTCCCAGCACACAGCTATTTTTAAAGATAAAAGGCCACATTCCCAAGATTGCGGCCACAAGAATGTGACTATCAAATGACCTTCCCATAGCTCGTCAAGTAAAACTGATGGCCGGGCCATGTGGGCAAAGTTGGATGGTCTCTCTGTGGCCCGGGCCCCACTTATCTGCTGATACTGGGCAGCTGCCCCTTTGCCCTGCACATGAGTCTGGCCTCTCTCTTTTCAGCATGACAGGCCCAGAAGGCCTTCAGATGCCATTCTCCTCCTCAAGACCTCAGCCACTGGAAACAGCCGAGAGAGAAAACCCTAGAGGTCCTTGATTCGCTACCTGGCTTCCTCTGTGCCAAGGGCAACAAAGAAGATAAAGCCCAAGGTCTCACAGGGCATCCATTTTACGGTTGTTGAGTTTATCCTGTGCCGGGTCTGCTGCTGGTTCTGCCCAGCCATCTTCAGTTAAAGTTAATAGCAATGGCATTAAGTCGATAAGCCTCATAGCATCCCGGGGAGGCAGGTCACCCTCAAGTACATTATCCCCCCTTAACAGATGGGGAAATGACGCCACGGGAAGATTAAATAACCTGCTGAGCCTCAACAGCCGGCCACAGGTGGAGCCCAAGCCAATCCAGCCCTCATGCCAGCTCATGAACGGATAATACTCTGGATAAAGGATCCCGTGCAGTGCGGACAGTTTGCATGACAGAGGCGAAGAAGGAATAAGCACAGAGAAAACCTTAAAACCACTCCAGTTGTCGCTTTTCTATGTCTCCCGAGAATGCCATGAGAAAAGAATGATTTTTCGTACCATTTGCAACGATATGGATGGACCTAGAGAACATCATACTAAGTGAAATAAGTCAGTCGGAGAAAGACAATTACCATATGATCTCACTTATACATGGAATCTAAAGAACTGAATGAACGAGCATTGTAAACAGAAATCGTCTCAGAGATATAGAGGAACAACTGATGGTTGCTAGATGGGACGGGGGTGGGGATGAGGGAGAAGGGGAAGGGATGAGACAATATAAATTGGCAACTACAATATTGCCACAGGGATATGAAAGACAGTTTAGGGAGTATAATCAATAAAGTTGTAAATATTTTTTAGGGGGTCAGATGGACTCATGTCTTGTTAGGCAGACCACTTCATGGACGGTGTAGAGGCTTGACCACTGCATTGTACATCTGAAGCTGCTGTTGAATAATATTGTATGTCAACTAAGATTTGATATATATGTGGTTATGGGATGTGGAGTACAGTGCGGGGAGTGGAATCAATGGAATTGTAATAGATATGTATGATATCGGGGGAGGGGGCGGATGATTGAGGGAGGGGGTGGTCACTTTGTGAGGGGTAAAAAGTATAACTATTGCATTGTTTTGTACACCTAAAACTAATAATAATAAAAAAAGAATCACACTTTCAAAAAAAAGAAAAGAATGATTTTTTTAATACACAAGTATTAAATAAAAGATGGTGTAGGCATGGATGCAATGAGAGGACAGGCCTATAGGCAGCAAGGGACCTCAGTGACTAGGATCAAAGGAGGGGTCAGGCCAAGCAGGGCCCTGTCAGTGACCTCTGTCCTCTGCACCCACAGGACTCTGCACAAACTGATGATCTCTGGTCTGAAATTATGTCCATTTCGTTCCTTGACACAATGAGTATATGCATATCTAACGTGGGCAAGTCACTGAGAGAGACATAAAGATGAATTGGACTATCCCTGCAGTCAAGAAGCTTGAAATGTCATCAAGGAGTATACATAAATCTCTAAAATAACAAAGTTAAAAATAGTAAGGACCATAGCAGAGAGGCTGGTAGAATGGCTAGGGTTTGATGGTGCAAAGTCACATCCAGCTATGGATACAGTAGGGTGGGATCAAGGCAGGCCTTGTGGAGGAGGTGACCAAGCTATGAAGGATAGGAGAGTGAGACCTGCAGGGGTGGGAAGAAGAGCATTGCAGGCAGTGGCTGGGGATGGCATAGAAAGTGCATAGAAGCGAGATGGCGCCGGGCTACCCTGAAGACAAGTTCAGAAAGAGGGATATGGGAGGCAAAGGGTTGAGAGATTTAGGGTAGGAATAGCAGGTAGAAGCCATATCCCCAAAGGCCTTCAGTGTGGGACTAAGGAGGTTAAATTTCACCCCTAGCCACAGTGCTCAGCATTATACCTTGTTCACAGTAGGCACTCAATACATGTTGATGGAGCAAAATGCAGAAAGGCAATTTAATTGTGGGAAATGCAGAACAACTGTGAAAGAAGATGCCCCCAAAATTACCTTGATTTTTAAAATCAATTGATATATAGTCAGGACAACTCCTAAGTTAATTTTGACTATCTAAAATATATGCTATATTCTGCCCCAAATCAAGACCATAATACTTGCCATCAGCTTCTCACCCAAGAACATTGTGAAAATTAATGATGACGTGATGTCTGTGAAATGTTCAGAGCTCTTTGGAGATGTGTGGCAAAAGGCATCACTATAGTTAATATTTAAAGAGATTCTACCCAGCTCTGATCTCTTTTTCTGCAGACTAATGTTACGTCCACAGGATAAGGTGATGCCAGATTGGCCTCTAAATAAACCTTTCCTACAGACAGCGCCCAAAGCAGGTGCCTTCTCCTAAGTCCCTTACATGTGGCTGATGAAACCACCCCAACAATGCAGGGGTGGTTTCTGACTTGGTTATCCAGGATTACCCAAGTTTATTCAGGGATGTGGGGGCAAAACACATCAGACAGCAGAGCAAAATAGATTTCAAAAAGTGGTCTTCGTTGGGACCCCATTTTTTAAGCATGAGAGAATCCAGTGAAGACTTCAAGGGGAATCATTTTAGCAAAACCCACATCCTAAGCCAGTTAACATTTTTAGGTCTATCACAGTACCCAAGAAAGGAAGAAATAAGAATAGCTCCCTGGGCTCAATTACAAATGGAGTGGAAAAAATAATTTCAAAAGTGCAAGGGGAAAAAAAAATCAATCTCTTTCCTTCCCCCAAAGCTTTCACTTCTATAAATACACTCACACAAATGGACCTAAGACCACTCTTCCTTATGAAAACACTACCTGTCTGGAATTTGCAAGATAAACGATGTGTCTGTACTGCTCTCAGCCCAACAAAGCTCAAACAATGCTTTCCAATGGCTTAGCTCTCCTTAAATAAGTCTCATTTTCCCCTTCTAATGATAAAAGAAATTTCAGTGCATAGAAGCAAATTTTAAAATTTTCCTTCTTAGAAAGAAGAAAATAAAAATTATCCACTATAATCTACAAGTTGCTAATTACCCTTTTAGCCTTTTTTGTGTGAAAACACACACTTTCAACGTCATTGGGCACTTACTATATATACTCGTTTATAGCCTGATTTTCCTCTTGTAACAAAACGCTGTAAAAATGTCCTTGTCTCTTTAGTATTCTACATTATTTTTCATGTCTTATACATGGGAGTGCCATTTGTGAAGCTAAGGCCCTCTTGCTGAACATTTGGGTATTTTAGCAATGTCTATATTAGAAACAATGTTGAGATAACCATCTTTGCATAATCCATCTCTAGTTATTGTCTTAGGATAAATTCCTATGAGTGGCACCGCTGGGTAGAAGACTGTGCACATGTTTCTAAGGCTTTAGACATGGCCAAGTTACCTTCCAGAAAGGTTATCCCAGGCTCACTCCCTCAGTCAACGGGAAAGCTATTTTCCCCAAGCGCTCACTGATCCCTAATTTCGTAATAAAGGAGGTGCTATTGCTTTTATTTGCAGTCCTTTGGTTACCGTGGAGGCAGATTACGTTTAGTGCCTGCAGTGTTTTCAGAGTACTTTTTAGTACATGCTATTCATTGGAAAGCCAACATCCCATTCCTTCTCCAAAGGGTATTTCCCCGCTACCACCACCGGCCACCTCCAAGGGCAGCCCAGTGGTCCTCCTGCCCACCACCTGCCACCCACATTTTCACTTGGGTGCTCTCCACTCCTTTCGCAATTTCACAGTTCCAGCAGTCAGTCAGGCTGAGAACCCGATAATCAGTCATGTGTTGGCTCATCCTGTTATTCACCTGATATCTCTTGGGGGGGTGGGGGGGTGTCTTGTAATGCTCCAGGCATCATACTAAGAGAGAAGTAGAAACAAAACACTATGAAAATCCTGGAGAGGGAGAATCAATGAAGCTCAAACAGCAGAAGTACACTTGAATTAAGGGATAGGTTGGAGTTGTATTGGTAGGTGAAAGCAGAGCAGACCCAGCAAAGGGAACCCCATGAGCAAAGGCCCTGACACATGCTAACGTGTCATTTGCTGGAGGAATATTTTCATTATTAAGGCATGAGAAGGAGGGGCTGGAGATGAGACTGAAAAGTGAGCTCATGCTGAATTCACCTGCTGTGCTGCTCTCTTTCCTGCACCTCCACTCTGCTTGCAACCCCTGGCCCATCTCCATCGCAGACTCCTCCAAAAAGCCTTCCAGAGAACCATTCTTACCATCCATCTCTCCACACGTCTCTGCCCAGGGCCGAAGTCCTGGCACTCACACCTATCTACTCAGCAAACCCCAATGAAGAGATTGGCTCTGTTCCCTGATTCCTGGGTATATATTTTATCAATCCAGCTAGAGAAGAAACTTCCAGATAGTGATATATTCTCTCGTAGCCTCTCCACGCTGGGCTAACTTATAATAGGCAATCAATAAAAGCTTATGGAATCTAACCAAATTAAATTGGGCAGAATAAATACAAGAGAAGGGATGAGAGTGCACAGTGTGTACGAATCTAACTATCACTCAGACAACTGGGAAAATTGAAACTGTCTTTGAAAATTAGATTCTGAACACAATCGTGGCAAAAAAATAGATCAATTCTCTTCAGACATGTAATTCTGTATCTACCTAGACACTTCTCAGTTAGGCACCCAAACAGTACTTGTTAAACTGTGCTGCACATCCAAGAGCGTCTCTGTGAATAAAGGTCAATATATTCCAGAGACATGGAGTTTTCTTTTCTTTGCAGGAAGCTGGAGGAGAAAAAAGGAAACCAGGCCGCTAATACATGCTGTCTCTGCTGGGATTTTCCATACTGATAATTCCAATTCAAAGTAAAAGTCCCAATGCCACCTGGGAGGAACCAGTCTCCATCATTCATGCTCTCATGCAGGCAACAAACATTTCTAAATAATTCTTCCCTGAAGGCAGAGAGCCCATATGTTCCTCAAGTGGCTAGTCTCTCTCTGTTCTGGTTCGGACTCCCCAGCTCTGGATGTATCCCCTGCCATAGCATTCATCACGCTGCTTTGATTGTTTGTCCCCACACTGGGCTGTGACTGCTACAAAGCTGATGACTGTTTCTCTGTCCTTATTGCCCTGGGGCCTAGACTATCACCCTCTACATAGTGGATGATCAATCTGTATTGTGGGATTAAACGTAGTGCCAGGGCTATAACGGACCTTAGACAGAACCCAGCCCACAGATAGGAAACTGAGGCCGACAGGGAAAGCAGCCTCTCCAAATACAGACAGA